CTGGCATGTGGTGCTGGGGGATTGAACCGCAGTCCCTGTGCTTTGCTAAGCTTGTTCTAAGTAGGTGCTTTAGACCACTGAGCCATCTCACCAGCCCCCACTAATTGGATTTTAAGCAGAGAAAAATCAATCTTATTTACATTTCCAAAGAGCCTTCTGTCTACCATGAGGAGTAGCCAGACCAGACTGAAGACTACTAGTTGGAGGCCGGCTATGTGGGCATGAAGCTGAGGGGATGGGTAGAGAGAAGGAGTGGAGTCTAGATGTGTTTAGAGTTTTCAGCACTTAGTGATACCTGAGGTAAAGAGAAGGGCAAACTTGGGTTTTTCATTTGTATATCTATCACTTGAGTGGAATATGAAGATCCCTAATTGGCATAGAGAAGACTAAAGGTGGGAGGTGCTAAATCTTAGGGTCACAGTATCGTAGTTTTTGCCTTTGACAGCAAGGAGGCCTTTTCTGACCTCCCCACTACATGAGTCTTGGGTCATGTAGCACCTTGTGCAGTCAGGACAGTAAGCTGTATTGTTTTGCTACCTTGTCAGTCTGCTGCTGGTGTAGGAGCTGCTGGAGAACAGGAACTCTCTCCTTCATCTCTGTAACTGAAGCACAGGTTAGCTAGGTGTTGTGTCACACACTTGTAATCCCAGCCCTTGGAAGGCTGAGGCAAGAGAATCATAGCAAGCTTGAGACCATCCTGGGCTACAAAGTGAGTTGAAGGCCAGCCTGAACTGCATAGACCCTGTCTCTAAAACACACACACACACACACACACACACACACACACACACAAAGGAGCACAGGTTGAGAATGTCATCGTTAAGAATGTCATCATAAGGGCCGGCCAAATAGCTCAGCAAGTTAAAGCACTTGCTTAGGCAGGCGCAGGGACCAGGTTTGATCCCCAGCATGCTATGCTGGCCCCGCCCCCAGGGTGTGCTAAGATGGCTACTGAAACTGGGCATGGTGGCATGCGCCTGTAATCGCAGTGCTTGGGAGGCTGAAAACAGGAGGATCATAGAGTCTGATCTGTGTAGTAAGACCGTGTAGACCCTGTACTAAATACATTAAAAGAAAGAAAGAAAGAAAGAAAGAAAGAAAGAAAGAAAGAAAGAAAGAAAGATAGATAGATAGATATCATAGGCATTGTGAATGGTTAAACGAATGAAGTGCCATCCTGCCTAACTTGAGTCAGCCATCTGAGATTAGCTCCAAGGAAGAGATCTGATTCTTGTTCTCAGAGTGTAAACTGTAGAAGGATCTTTGGTAACAGGTATAAATGATCTGTCTCCCAAGATTCTAACTGAAGGGTATGGTCCCTGGTGCCCCCTGCTGGCTTTCTGAGACTGTGGAACCCACCCTTTCTACTGCCCTAACTATTCTAGTCTGGGTTTCTGTTTGGCAACTCCAAATATCTCGTCCTGTTCCAGGTGTGCTGTGGCCCTGGATGCGTGGATGTTTCCTCTGGAACGGGACTTTTACCCCAAGGCCCAGGGCCCTGTGTTCTTTATCAATGCCGAGAAATTCCAAACAGTGGAGAGTGTCAACTTGATGAAGAAGATATGTGCCCAGCACGAACAGTCCAAGATCATAACTGTCCTGTAAGTCAGTCCCAAAGTCATGATCCCATTGCCCTCTCCATTTACCACTGCCTTGATTTCATCTGGATCATCCAGAACTTTCTTTTTTTTTTTTTGGTCCTCGAATGCCTTCAGGGCACTTTTTGGCCAGCGGGAGAGTTGTGAGGTTCGAACTCAAGCAACCTGAGTCTGACAGCTTTGTGGAAGCAGCCACTTAAAGGCCTGAGCTAGGGCCAGGCCCCTGATCCAGAACTTTCTACCCATGAACAGACTATATGAATACTTCCTGAACTGCAGTCTTACGTCCTTGAGAATTTCTTTTTTTTTGGCCGTCCTTGAGAATTTCTTATCTGCTCCTTTTCCACTTAATTCCACCAACAGTGATCTTCTTTAACAGTTTACATGGCTTTATGATAGGACTTACCTAATGCTTTCTGGGCTTATGAGTTGCTGAGGAAGGGATGTGAGTCTGTGTGGGGTCCAGAGATCATTTTGGACTCGCGTTGGGTCTTTTGAAGAGTGTGGATGTAATAGACCTTAGACATTCACCAGAAGGTTTTTAGAACTTCATGAAAAAAAAAAAAAAAAAAAAAAGAACTTCATGAATACCTAAATTCACAGATATTACTGTAGCCTATATTTTCTCCCATAAACCATCTATATTCTGGCCAAGAGAAACTACATTCTCCTCACTTTCGTCACCAGCATTTTCTTTTTCATTTTATTTATTTGGTACAGGGTCTTACTATGCAGCCCAGACTCTAGTGATCCTCCTGTTTTCAGCCTCCCCAGTGCTGGGATTATAGGCATGTGCCACCACGCCCTGATTCATTTGCCAGTTCAGCACACCCTGGGGCTGGGCCAGTGTGGCATGCAGGACTGGGGATCGAATCCTGGTCCTGTGCTTGCCAAAGTGGGCACCTAGTCCACTGAACTATCTCACTGGCCCACCAGCATTATTGATTGATTATTTTATTTTATTTTATTTTATTTTATTGAGCCTTTTATCAGAGCAAACAAATGCAGTGACCTTGGGACAGTGACTATATAGGAGGTGTCAAGGCGCTCCAAAGGCAGGGCTGCAGTCTCCCTGATTTGCTGCTGCTCTGCACGTGAGCCAAACAACACACATGCATCAGGGATCCCAGGTCTCGTTTTAGAACCTGGGGACCTCTGAAATCACTCAGGTGATGGGTCAAAAGCCTAAGCCTGGGGCCGGGGAGATGGCTCAGTGGAATAAGCGCTTCCCTGGCAAGCTCAAGGGCCTGAGTTTGATCCCTGGTTCCACAAAAAAAAAAAAAAAAAAAAAGCCTAAGCCAAGGCTCTGCACACCAGAATCTCTGATAGTTGGTGTCATCTGCCCTTGCCTTCTTGCGTTGCTCAGCCTCTCCCCCAGGGCCAGCCCCTCCCCTCTCGTTGATGTCCTAGTATTGGAGGATACAGGCTGAAACATCCCCTAGGCCCATCCAACTTATACAATAGTGACCTACAGGGAAGAGAGAGAACAATTAGAATGGGGCTCAAAAGTGAGATGTAGCTACTGGCAGGATGTATTTCTTTTTCTTTCCAGTGCTGTGAATGGAACCAGGGCCTCATACCTGTTAAGCAAGTGCTCTACCACTGAGCTACACCCCCAGCCTGGCAATGTATTTCTTTCTTTTTTTTAAAAAAAAAATTTTATTTATTTATGTGGGGGGGCAGCTCAGCCCACCAGGGGGCGGGGCTGGCTGGCATGTGGTGCTGGGGGATCAAACCACGGTCCCTGTGCTTTGCTAAGCTTGTTCTAAGTAGGTGCTTTAGACCACTGAGCCATCTCACCAGCCCACAATGTATTTCTTATACTGAGTGCTAAATGCTCAAGAATCCACTATTCTGTATGTTTTTTGTTTCCCTTAAGTATTTTTTTTTTCCAGAGGAGGGAATTGAACTCAGGCCCTTATGCTTGCTAGGCAAGCATTTATTCAACTGAGCTATCTCCCCAGCCCCATTAAGTAATTTTTTTATTTTTTTGGCGGAACCCGGGATTGAACCCAGACCCTTGCGCTTGCTGGGGAAGCGCTTATTCTACTGAGCCATCTCCCCAGCCCCTTAAGTAATTTTTTTAAAATTAGTTTTTCTGCATAGCATCAGATAGTTGATTTGTTTGTTTGTTTATTTTTGTTTTTAAGACAGAGTCTCACCAGGTAATTCAGGCTGGCCTCAAACCCACTGCATTCCTTCTGCCTCAGCTTCCCAAGTGCTGGGATTACAGTTTTGTGCCACCACTCCTGGTGGCACAATTAGTATAGCTTTTAAATTTTCCCTCCTTCTTTGAATTGTATGGTACATTTAATTATGAGTAATTTATCCCAGAATAAACCTGGGTTCAATCCTGTAAAAAGTATTAGAGCCTAAGGACTTAATCCAAAAACTCATTGGTATAAGCACTTACCCTCATTTTTCTGATCTTTTAAATAAAAGCAAATAATTCCTTTTCTTTGTTTACTCTGTGATACAGTCCTAACAAGGACCTATATGTTCGGTAAGTAGTTGGAAGACACCAAGTAAAAGCTATAATGAAACAGATTCCAATAACATAAGAATGGCAGGTTCTGGCCAAGAATATAGCTCAGAGGCACAAGTGCCCACGGCTTGGTAAGTGCAAAGTCGAACTCTACTATCAGCGAACTCAGGAGTGCGATTCTTATTGCCAAAAAAAAAAAAAAAAAGACAGGGGCCGGGGAGATGGCTCAGTGGAATAAGCGCTTCCCTGGCAAGCGCAAGGGCCTGAGTTCAATCCCCCGTTCTGCCCAAAAAAAAAAAAAAAAAAAAAAAGACAGGTCCACTGGGCATGGTGGCCCAAGCCTGTAATCCTAGCACTCTGAAGGCTGAGGTAAGAAGATCATTGAGAGTTCAAGACCAGCCTAGGCTATAAAGTGAGTTCAAGTCTAGCCTGAGCTACATAGGGAAACCCAGTCTTTTTTTTTTTTTTTTTTTTTTTTTTTTTTTTCTTTTTTTTCGGGACCGTGGATTGAAATCAGTCCCTTGCACTTGCCAGGGAAGCACTTATTCTACTGAGCTATCTCCCTGGCCCCTGGAAACCCTGTCTTAAAAAGACAAAAAAGGGTGGGCAGAGCGTGATGAAAATAAAAAAATGGCAGGTCCTGGAGACTTTGCCTCTCTGCCTGTCTTCTGGCTCCACCAAGTTCAGCACTGTCAAGCATTGTGGTTTAGGAGCTAAACCAGCTTTGAGGCCATGACACCTGAGTTTAAGTCTTAGCTGTGCCCCCTGCTGTCAGCATGCCCCTGAGGAGACCACTTAGCTCCTCTGATTCTATCAAAGGGGATAATGGGTCCTTCACAAGGTTGGTGTGAAAATTACTCTTGATAACATATGGAAGGCAGCTTGCACACAGTGGGTGAATATGTGTATGCCTAACCCCCAGACCTTTACCAGTGTTTTTTTTCTTTTTCCTCTAGTGGCTCTGTACATCGGAGTCAAACTGACTTTGCTTTTGCAACTGGCAGCTTAATTGGAAAATTCTTCTCCTCTCACACCCGAGGGAGCTTGGACCCCTACCAAGGTCAGGAAATTATGGTGCGGGCCATGTTGGCTTTCCTGCAGAAACACCTCGGTAAGGAGTGGGCAGGGGCCTGGGGGACAGATCTAGGGTCTTGAGTTTCTCCACAGCACAGTGGTCTATCCTGTTATGGTTGGCATCTGAGTGAAAGGAGACTTTGCACAGGAGTAGAGAAAAAACATTTACCTGAAAGTTTGGAGACTATTATCTTACTGGGTGTATAACTGGGTCTAGTCATTTTACCTCTTTCAGCTTTGATTTCCTCATAGTAAACAGGCCATTCACCTCTGTCTACTCCACCATGTATGTCCTAACTTAGCAGTCACCTGGTGGGAGTCATGGGAAGCTTGTGACAATAACTGGGCTAAATATATGGAAGTGCTTTAAAGAAAAGCATAGGGGCTAGGGAGATGACTCAGTAGAATAAGTGTTTGCCTGGCAAGCACAAGGGCCTGAGTTCAATCCCCGGTTCTGCCAAAAAAAAAAAAAAAAAAAAAAAAATGCATGGAGAGATTGTGATTAACATCATCAATCACAGACCAGCTAACTGGCAAGGCCTTTAGAGGTCTCTGGTCCAGCTTCCACCCATGTCCTCTCCTCTTATGTCTTCCCCTGATGTACAATCAAGCCCTCCTCACCACTGCAGACTTAAACAGTTTTAAGAGTTGAAATTTTAGGTAAGATTTTTTGAGGGTATAAAGACCACGTTCACTACATTACCTTGAGAAACAAAGTTTGTCTAGCAGGGTGTAGCTGGACCAGGGGTCTATACAGAATTGTAGAAGCTTGGCTTATCTGTGAGATTGACCTTTTGTACAGTCTGTCTCACAGGCCCACTTTCAGTCCCTCTCATGACCTTTCTCTCTCTTGTTTTTGTTTTGGTCCCAATCTACCTTTTTCTTTTCTTTTTATATATTTAGTACAGAGTCTCACTACACAGATCAGACTCAGTGATCCTCCTGTTTTCAGCCTCTTAAATGCTAGGATTACAGGCATGTGTCTCAGTGGGCCCCCGGGGCAAGGCCAGCATGGCATGCTGGGGATTGAACCCCAGTCTCTGCATCTGCCTAAGCGGGCACTTTAATCTGCTGAGCTATCTGGCCAGCCCCTACCTTTTTCTTTTTTTCTGCTGTGTTTTTCTCTTGCCAGTACCATCTATTCATTCAGTTCTGCTGCCTTATAACACCCATTTGATTTCAACTGCTTGTGGCTTAATCTCTCTGCTTTGTGGGTTTATGCCTTTTCAGCTTTTATTGCTCCTAGCCACATTATTTGGGCTTCTTACCTCAGATGCCCAAGAGAGACAAATTGGCCTGTATCAGCTCATCTTTGCCTACCAAAACATTGTAGGCCACTGCCCAACCCAGGCCTACAGCTCTTTTGATCAGATGTCCCTTTGTGTTTTTTTGTTTTGTTTTGTTTTTCTTCAGAACCAGGCATTGTTGAACTCAGGCCCTTGGCACTTGCCAGGGAAGCGCTTATTCCACTGAGCCATCTCCCCAGCCCCCAGTGTCCCTTTCTGATATAGTCAGAAGGAGAGGGATACTGTTACCTACCTGAGGTTGAATCCCCCTCTCAGGTGCTGGGCACAGGAGGGCCCAGGCTTTCCTGGACTGCTAAAGTTTGACCTCTGATCTAACAGCAAGATGTGATACTTTGTGCCTATTTATCCCTCAAGAGTTGGCCAAAGAAGCCTCAGATGGTACAGGACAGTTCTTTGGATATTTGAAGTCACCTCTAATGCCCTCTCTGAGTTTTCTGTTCATTAAGTTAAAATTCCCTGCTCCCTGCACCTTTTCGCTATCTGTCCACCATGCTGCCACTCACCGTCCCCTTCCTTTGGATGTGTTATCTGTTAGTGCCCCTTGTAACGGGTGACGCCTTGACTTGAACATGACATGCTAAATATAATCAAGCACCAAGTACAGTGAGCTGTCGCCTCTATGCTGTAGACATTAAACTCCTAGCTGTAAGATCTGGATGGAGTCACATTTCCCACTCATGTACACAAATCTGAATGGGGTTAGGTTTGTTTTAAAAATGTGCATGTCCTACCAAGTGTAGTGGTGCATGCCTGCAATCCCAGCACTGTGGGAAGTTAGGGCAGGAAGAGTACAAATTCAAGCCCAGCCTGGGTAGTTTAGTGACTTAGCAAGACCATGTCTCAAAAATAAAAATAAAAATAAAAAAGGTGTGTGACCAGGTGTGGTGGCACATGCCTGTAATCCCAGCATTCAGGAGGCTGAGGCAAGAGGATCATTGAGAGTTCCAAGACCAGCCTGCACTACAAAGTGAACTGAAGCCCAGCCTGAGCTGCATAGGGAGACCCTGTCTCAAAAAGACCAAAAAAAAAAAAGGTTGGGGGGGAATACAAAAGTAGTACAGTGTGAAGACACTAGGTTTTTAATCCTCATTGCTGGGTAGGGGTGTGTGATACATATATCCTATTGGTAATGTACTGGCATTCTTTGTCTATTCCATTTTGTACATCTGAGCCATTATTGCACCCTGACTTTAGAGAGTTTAGGGTTCATAGCAATGTTAGAACATCATTTTTGAGGCTGAGATAGGAGGATCATTGCATGCTCAGAACCGGCCAGTGTGCAGCCCAAGCTGTCCAATTCCAGAGCCCATGCTGCTCCTTGCTGCACCCTACTGCTGGTGATTCTGATGACAGTAAGAGTCGTAATTTCGCTTTTTTTTTTTTTTTTCTGGTACTAGGGGGTTGAACTCAGGACCTTGTACTTGCCAGGCAGGTGCTTATGCCACTGAGCTATTTCCCAAGCCCAAGAGTCATAATTTCCTGATCACATGATCACAGTGTACACCCAGTCTGAGAGGCTCCAGAGTATAGGCACCTAACTGGTGGAAGCAGAAGAACAGCCAAGGAACGGGATCTGCAGGCAGAGTGCTGCTCGTCTTTGAGCTTGACGGACAAAGAGAGTCCAGAGGCAGGGAAGGGGTAAGGGTCTCTTGGCAGGAAGCACAAACCCGTATGTGGACTTGGTCAGCTGGGAAATTGGTTAGCATCTCTGGAGCTCAGGCCAGTGTGCTTTTGAAAGGCAAGGATAGAGAAATGGTCCAAAGCTAAACACAGGGCTAGGGAGATAAGATAGCTCAGTAGAATAAATGCTTGCCTGGCAAGCATAGGGTCCTGAGTTCAATCCCTCCCTGGTACCACAAAAAAAAAAAAAAAAAGCTAGACATAGAGGCCCATCAATTTGCTGAAGTAAGTTTGAACCAGGCCTGGTAATGTACACCTGTAATCCTAGTACTCAGAAGACTGAGGCAAATGGATCACTGGGCTACATGGTGAGTTCAAGGCCAGCTTGAACTACATAATAAGACCCTGTCTCAAAAAGATGCTCCCTGGTTGTCTAGTGGTTAGGATTCAGCACTCTCAAAAAAAAGGTAAGTTTGAATTATATTCACAGGCTATAATGAGCCATGGGTGGGTTTTCCACAGAAGGCCCTGACTAGACTTGTGTTTGCAGTTGGTCTGCATCCTAAGGATGAAAAAAGAGTGAGGCAGAGAGCCCAGCTAAAAAGCTTTTGCAGTGACCCGGATGACAGGACAGAAGATAGAGCCTGAATAAAGGCCAATGCTCTTTGCCTGGGCTAATTAGCTTTACAAAGAAGAAAAGCTTTTTGGTAGGCACCTAGCGTGTTGTCACGTGAGAAACTAAAATAAGCTCTAAGTGGCCCAGCCACATCTCACTCCTGAAAATCAACTCAGAAGAGTATGCACGCCACAATCCTGCTGATTCAGATGTCACCTCCCAGGAAGACCATTGCTGCTGCCTGAGTGTTAACTCCACGCATGGCTCCTGTCTCCTGCTGCCCTGGAAGATGATTTCATACCTTCTCCTTCCTCAAACCTCTAGTGCCTCTTCCCTCAGCCTCTCAGCTGAGGAACTCTGTCTCCCACTTTGCTGAGCAGAAGGCCACCAGCAATTCCGCAGGCTCTGCACACCACACCCGCCCTCTTTCCTGTGTAGACCTGCAGTTTCCCCCTCTTTACTTTAGGTCATCAATTTTTTTCCTCTCTACTGGTTTATTTCTCTTGCTTTATTTTAAAAGAAGAAAAACTCTTGGGGTGGGGTGTAGCTCTGTGGAAGAACACTCGCCTGATATGTGAGGGTCTAGGTTTGAATCCCACCACTATTAAAAAAATAAGAACAACCCTTGACCTCGGTATCCCTTTCATTTCCCTTTTCCCCATAACAGCAAATGGCAAAACTCCTCAAAACAATATATTCACTTTTTTCCTTTTTTTTTTTTTTTTTTTGTGGGAGTGAGTGTGTGTGGTATGG